TCGGCGAGGGAAAGTACGATCCGAGGCTTCGGGGATCGAGGCTCTCGGGTGGTGCGAAGGGGGCCCAACACACATCCCAGGATCCCCCATATTTTCGATGCATTCTGGATGTTCGTCTTCCCCTCCACTTCCACCAGTTTCCATGCTTCTAGCGGAATCGACGATTTTTGGTGTCTGTGTGTTTTTCCCCTCCTGATGATAAGGCTTCGGGCTGCGGGCAGGCAGCCCCCCCCCAGGTAGTCCTGGCCAGCCTCTAGATGCCCTCCGAGGAGTCCCAGCTGGTTTCAACAGGCCCCCTGAGCAGCCCAGGGCGGTCTTAACACCCTGGCGCCGCCCGTGGCGGCACCCCTGGGGCGCTGCGCGCCCCAGGGTGGAGGGCCCTGGGCTGCACAAGGGGGCCTGTTTGGGGCCAGCTGGGGCTCCTCCGGGGTCCTGCTGAGGCAACCGGTCTATCAGGGTGGCTGTCTGTGCGCAGCCCGGAAGCCTTACCACTCCTGGGCGGAGGTTTTGGTCCTCTCTTGGGCCTCTGGCAGGCCCCCCGTTGCCACGGCCTCGATGCTCCTCGAAGCTCGGGCCAGAACGCACTCCCGAACAGGTCCGTAGGCGGTGGCATGGGGGAAGAGTAATGAGGAGGAGGGAGGAGGGAGGAACAGGAGGGAGGGAGGATGAGGGAGGAGGAGGACGAAGAATCAGGAAGGGGGGAGGGAGGAGGGAGGAGGGAGGAGGGAGGAGGAGGATAATCAGAAAGGGAGGAGTATGAGTATGAGTATGACCATGTGACAGAGTCAACTGTGCCAACATTACGTGACGAATTACACATGAAGGCATGACTATACACGACCACGGCTCTGCTTCTCACGTGCACTTAAAACCTTAGGCCGGAGAGTAAATCGGAGGAGGGAGGAGAGAGCAACAGGAGGGAGGGAGGATGAGGGAGGAGGAGGACGAAGAATTAGGAAGTGGGAAGAGTAATTAGGAGGGAGGAGGGGGGAGGGGGGAGGAGGGGGAAGAGTAATTAGGACGAAGAATTAGGAAGGGGGGAGGAGGGGGAAGAGTAATTAGGAGGAGGGAGGGAGGGAGGGCTCCCGAGCACGTCCGCAGGCGGCTGCAGGGGGGGAAGGGTGATTTTAGGAGGAGGGAGGAGGGAGGACCAGGAGGAAGGAGGAGGGGGGACCAGGAGGAAGGAGGGAGGACCAGGGCGGTGAAGGATGAGGGATGAGGACCAGGAGGAGGAGGGAGGAGAACCAGGAGGACGAACGGATCCTGATAAGCTGAGGATATCCTGATAAGGAAGGGAAGACGAGGGAGGAGGAGCAGGGAGGAGGAGGAAGGAGGGAGAGAGGAGGACCAGGAGGGGAGGAGGAGGGAGGAGGACCAGGAGGAGGGAGGAGGATCAGGAGGAGGGAGGAGGACCAGGAAGAAGAAGGAGGACCAGGGCTGTCAAGGGAGGAGGGAGGACCAGGAGGGAGGGAGGACGAAATCAAGCGAGAAGGTCGGCGGACCCAGAAAGCACCACCGATGCATCGGCGATGCATCGTCGTGGGCGTTGCGTCGGCGACGTCGACGTGGAGAAAATCGGCCTCCACATCGAGCCGCATCGCCGATGCATCGCCGATGCGGCGCGATCCCCCGACCCCATCTACTCGGACCCCATCTAGGAGGCCTATCAGTCAGTATCGAACCGGGACATCAGATCGAACCTGAACGTGTGTCGGATCGGGCTGCATCGGCACAGAGTCGAAGTCGAAGTCAAAGCGGATATCCCAGGATTCCGAACAACGCCACGCAAACACCGGGCCACATCAGGCCGTTGGATTACACGAATCGAATCGGATAAGGCCGGCAGGAAATCGAGTCGGACGGATACGATCGAAATGAACCATATGGGGTGGCTTACTTAGCGACGGCAGAAAACACTGGAGAATATGGGTAAGAGAGATGCATAAGCTGCCCGTGGGACGATAAAGAGATTGGAGGGCATGTGACCTCCGACCCTGAAGCAGCTGTGCTGGAACTGGGATGAAGCGCATGGCGGCTCATAATCCCACCAGCCCTCTGAGCGTAGGCGGTCTAGGGAGGTTCCTCTTCCTCCAACCCCCTTCTCCCCCTTCCGGGGAAAGATTCATCACTGTTCCTTACTGATATATACCCCGTCCGTCACCCGGCGGGCGGCCAACCCTGGAACCATGCCAACCCCATAAGGGCCACCCCCGCACCAATAGAAAACGCATTTTGCCTCCAAGTTTGGAACATGCGCGGCCAACTCGATGCGGCCCCAGCATCAGCCCTGTCCAAAACCAATAGAAAGTACACTTTGAGGCAAAGTCTTGAGTCATGTTCGTGAGGCCCGCAAGCACGATGTATTTTTGACAGGGACGGCGGGGGTGTCAGCATATTCCCTGCTGCGCGCAGGGCTACCATCTCCGACAAAGACAAACCAAACTGCACCTCGCGGCTGAATCTGGATCATGCGCGGCCATTCCGCGATCACTGCCAAACG